TTATGTTACTCTGAATGACTTTGTTTACATCTCCATGATGTCATAATGCAGATATTTTTAAAAACTGGTGGAATTCCACATTAATCTTAGCCATTATTTGATAGATTTGTGTTTTTTGAGTGTTATAAAATGGTAGTACTCTATTATGTAAATAAACCCTTACAAAGAAGATATATAGTAATACTATAAAAAAATAAAATACAATAAGATAAAATGTGCCATATCTTTTGCACAGGACACATTTTAGATGATAAAAAAATCATCATTTATAGGGTACCTGGGAGGTGGCTGACCCAAACCCTAACCTCTAAATATCAACCTTGTGAAAATAACATTTTTTTTGTATTCTTTCCAATGTCTCTTCGTTTTTTAAGTAAAGTTGAAAGATTTATAAGCTAGAATTGTTGCTTCTGAAATAGACACCACTGAAACATTTGGTTTTTCATTTCAAGTTTTGGTAGCATTATGATTGGTTTGGTAGTGACAAAATAATTTGTTTTAATGAAGATAAACATAACTCGGGCATATGGTCACTCAAATTCCAAGTCTGTTAAAAGACTGAAACATGTTTTCAAGTCTTTTAACCAATTTGGCAAAAGGAATCATATAGCTTCTATACATCTATACAACTTTTCTAACTTCAGTATAGATACAGTTTGCCATTTCTGTTGGATTATAGTCATGGTTTTTCACCCCTCCACACACTTTCTATCAGGAAACTGGCTCCTGAGGAAAGAATTTATTCCAAGGACACATTATAACCACACACACACACACACACACAAACACACATTTGAACTGTAGACATGCTTGAAGGCCTGGGCATGATGTGAAAGCTCTTGAGCAGTTAACTGTATTATACTGCCTATTCAGTATAATGTGACGGTATTGTGAAGGTGTTCTCAGGCCTAAAAGCCTCTCTTCTGTGCCCAAGGCCCGTGGACAGAGATGGATTCTTCTAGCGTGTTCTAATACTGTTACCTTAAGAGCTAACTGCAGTATAACTTCTTCTAACAAAATAAGAAAAATGTCTAAGTTTAAAAGAGCAAAGTTTAATAAAAGACTTCAGTCACTGAGTTCTTGTGGAAGGAAGGAAAAGGCCTTCTTCTTTATTGAGCTTGAATGGCAAGATGGTTCCCGGACAACCACAATGCAAAGAATATCTCAAAACACCCAATTTTTATATCCTGTTTGGGGTGATGAAATAATCACCCCTCTCTCTCTATAAAATTCTATACCATCTTAGTTCCCATCATTTCCAAACCTTACATTTCCTTGGGAACCCTTATTTCCAAACATACATGATATATGTTTTTTAAAAATATCTTATCTTAACTGTAGCAGGATGTACAAGGGCATTAGCTTTGACTGGTTGCATTGTAAATTCACCTACTCCAGAATCTGGTTCTTATCTCAAGGACAGCTCCTCTTTTTTCACACAGCAGATTCTCACAAATTTCTGGAGGCCCCCTTTGCTAAAAGGGGCACTCTGTGTCCAAGTTCCCATGCAAGCTAAGGCCTTACAGTGTGAAGATTACTATTCTTTTGGTTAATAAACACTATTTTTAAAACTATCAAAGATAAAGATTATTTATTCAAAACATCTGTCAGTGTCAAAGTTGTCCGACTACCTTTCAAAATGCTTTTCAAACCACTTTCACAACACTGGCCCAGTCAAGATTACCTTGGTGGATCTAACAGTTTGCAAATGTTGTATATCAGAGTTTATTTTCTGGTATGCAAATGATGCCCAGTGGCTCTATAATAGCTTTCATGTCATGGCTTCCAGTACAACTAGCACTAGAGTCCAAAAATATAACTAATAAATTATAGGGGAATTCCTATATAATCCAATTGAGATGTAAACAAAGTCATTTAGAGAGGTTTGATGTGAAATTCTGCATTCTTGGGAAACTTACAGACTCTTTCTTTACAATGGTGGTGATAGGAACCAGAGGTTGCAATGTCCACAATGAAAATGTAGCCATTAAGTTAGTTTTCATATGGAATGTTGATAGTGATGAATAAGTGGTAAATCTGTAATATGAAACTTTTTTGGGTACTCTTTTGCTCAGTTTCTTATCTCAAAATTGTTTTAAAACAGTGTCTCAGGCGTCAGGCAATATATTCATGATCATTCAGTGTAATAACATTCTCTGAGGTAGCTATAGAGGCATTAAACTCTTTACAGCTTTTATAAATGATGTCTTTGCTCATGCTATATGATATACATATAGCATAAATATATACATACATATGTATTCCAATTAATTCATTGTACCAACCGCATTTTTTTCTACCCCAAGACTTTCTTTTCTTAATTATGAGGCAACTTTGTTTTACTTTATTTATTTAACTTTATAATTATTACATTCTGTCCTAAGCATGGAAATTTTGTCACCTAACCACAGATCATCATTAATTATAAGCTTCAGTCTAAGATGTAATTCTGTTTGGTGTGAAATGGTCGTTTGATTTAATACTATCTGACACCAGAAATCGAAACTTTGAGGCACGCCTAACCTCAACAGAAACATGCCCACAGTAAGAAAGAGACAATGGATGTCTCCATTCAAATATACACCCACCAGCCACTTCATTAAGTGCACCTACCTTGTATCTGCATTCTTTGTCTTTTGTTTTATCAAGTCCATGTATCAGGTACCATATAGGTGCACAACATGCACATAAACCATATAGGACAACATGCACTAACATGCCACCACCACGCCAGTGCCACAGTGCTGAGAAAGATCCACCACCCAAATTACACCTGAAACCAGATCACCAGGGCTAAAGAAGGCTAACTAAGTATGTAGAGCAGGGCTGTACAATCTTATCTGCAAAGGGCCAGTGTGGCTGCGGGTTTTCATTCCAACAAAGCAGGAGCTCACATGATCAGTCATTTGAAGTCTGACCAATTGATTAGACAAGTAGAATCAGGTGTACTCCTGCTTGTCTGGACTGAAAACCTGCAGCCACACCAGCCCTTTGCGAATAAGATTTGACACCCCTGGTGTAGGGGAACAGATGGACTACAGTCTGTAATTGTAGAACTACATGGTGCACCTAGAAGATAAATGGAGCTGATAAAATATACATAGCTGTTTTTAGCAGGGCTCCATAGCTCAGTGGTTAGAGTACTGGTCTTGTAAACCAGGGGTCATGAGATCAGTCCTCACTGGGGCCTCCCAATGTGATTTTGGGGGATAATATTTGATCAATCTCAAACTCATAAGGCCAGTTTCCCCAACCCAGATTAGCCCTAGTCTGCAAACAAAGCTTAAAATATTGTACATTTCACCACTATAAAAACAGACACAGCTTTAGCACAAGTTGTGGTGCTTTATTCTCAGCTGTTGGCCGCAGCTATGCTGTACATAAGCAGAGCTTTCGCTTTACTAATAGTTAATTCACTACCCAGCTCATGTATGACTCTCTCAGCCTTAGCAAAATAACGCAGTGAATAAATGCTACAGAACAAATAACCCTAAATGAACATGTAAACATTTCCTGAACACACTACAGTATTGTTTGTCTTACAGGATTATTTCATATGATTGAAAAAATTGTAAAAACACAATTCTTGTAAACAAACACTGATTTGAAATGTTTGTAAGATGGTAATCATAATTGGCATATTGCATTGCAAGCACACTTTTTAAACCCCTCTTTGCTCAGTTGAGGCTTTGCTCCCTGACAGCTTTCCTGGTCAAACTTGAAGATCGTACATTGTGGGACATGAATGCCACTGTCATGTGGTCCCACACATAGAACTCCTGCTTCTTCTTAAGAACACAGCACGAGTTTTGCTCATGTCCTCTGGTCTCCACAAAATCTCTTCCTGGAATTCTCTTCCTGGAACTCGCACACACCATTGTGTCCTGCAGAAGTGGGTATCTCTTGAACTCTCTTTTGGCATCTGGACCATGGACCACTGTGGCATTCATGACCTCTGGCTTGTAGACAACTGTCTCATAGATGCGCATTTGAGGTGCTTGCCCCATGCACAACTGGATGCTGTAGTTGGCCAGCAGTTCCCTCATGGAGAAGGTGAAATTAAAGTTCCCCAGCCTGATGAGGAGGTGAACTTGTGTAGGAAAGGTTTACAGTTATAATCTTTGTCATTACCAAGAAGACACCTCTCAGCATCTGCAGTGTCACCCTCTGAGATAGCTAAGCTCCACCTAACCAGACTTTGGGTGGAGGTGATGTCATCTCCTGGTTTCTTAAATCCACCATCATTCAGGATGGGTGAATGTGTGCATCACTCATTTGTCTCTTACAGAGCAATATTAATTCTATGTGATGCATTTAAAACATAAATTTCCTCTATATAGATTATCTGTGCTAGTCCTTGTGTGAAATATGTGCATGTAATTGTGCAACTTTGTGAGCATGAGCAGTGCAGTGAGAGTGTGGGAAGTGCTGCAAATTCAAAGATCCATCTATAATAGTGTTACATAAAAAGAACAGAAATTTGCCAAAGCACCTGTGAATATAAATCTGAAGGATGAAGATTTATAAAAAGAGCTGAAGAAGAGAAAGATCCCACCTCACCTATCCCACCTCACCAAATCAGGCCAGACCCAATTTTAGATTTTATTCTAAATGGGGAATTCCACTGATTTTTTTTCCGATTTCTGCATAGTTCATTCATTAAGATGTAAACAAAGTCATTCAGAGGTTTGATGTAAAATGCTTCACTGTGGAGAAACTTACTGTGTCAGAATTATTCACAGTGTTGGTTATAAGAACCACCTGAAGAGACATCTGAAGAGTTACAAATACGCCGTCTTACGTCTGAGACATTGTTTTACAATACTTTTGGCCTAAATGGCAGAGGGGTACATACAGGATGTAGAATGGAAAAACAGTCCCTAAAGAAAACATATGTTTTTGAATTTACCACTGTTTTACCCTCATCAACATTACATATAAAAACTCAGAAGACACATGTAGGTTCACTGGTGATTTTGGATGGTAAATAAAATGGCTATATTAGTGTTGTAGACATAGCGACCCCTGGTTCCTATCACCACCACTGTAAGGAAATATGAGTCAGTAAGTTTCTCTACAATTTAACATCAGATCACTCTGAATGACTTTGTTTACTCTCAACTACTGAACTGTGCTTCTTTTGACCAGTTTTTAGGTTTTCAAACAGCATAATGTCTTTGTCTTGTTCAGAGAAAAGTCAGGGACAGTGATATGCCTTTAAATGATTGTTTACCTCAACTGGCTATTTCTTTCTAAATAAAGTATCAGAAGTATCCATTTGTAATGGATTACTTTTTGAGTAACTACCCTGGTCTCATCGCCTGGACTACATGGGTTGGAAGTGTTTGGTTGGGATTCTAAAAAATGTTTGCAGTCACCAAATTGCCAGGAATAGGATTTTAACACCCCTGATCAATAGTAGTATCAGAAGCCTAAACCATACTCTAGAGCCAAGTTTTCTAATATTTCATAGGCTTCATACTCATCAAGGCCATAGTCTGGCTCCCTCAGGAGATTCCATTCAGGGACCTCACATGTGCTCACACTTCTGTACAGTCGCTCCCGATCCACGTCCAGAATCCGGCCTGGCTCCATGTGGAAGGCTACAGCCACATGATCCCACACATAATACTCCTCACCCTTAAGTGACCTTGCATGCACTGTGGACTCCTCTTCGTCCACCACTAGCCTGTGGCCATGACTTTCTGACGGGGCCTGACAGCGCCATGACATGTTGCCCTGGAAGTACCCACACACGTCGTCGTCACCACGGGGCAGGCGTGGGTATTGGCTATAGCGCTTAATGTGCCGTGGATGCACCAACACAGAGTACATAATTTCTGTTTTGTAGATCTTGGTGTCCAACACACGAAGAACTGGAGCAGAATTGTAACAAAATTGCCTGGCATACAGAGACAGGAGCTCTCTTAGAGGAAAGACAAAGCAGAAGTTGCCGTAGCGAGACTTGTTCTGGAATGCCGGTGAGGTGGTGAACTTCTCCAGGAAAGGCTGCTGGTCGTAGGCCTGGTCATCTGGAGTCATGCCTAACTCCTCTAGGAAATTCTCCTCAGCATCAGCAATGTCTTCCTCAGTCACTGATAGACTCCACCACAGGAAGTTCTCTTTGTCATATTCATCATGGTATGGAATCTGGAAGCCGCCATCATCAAAGATACCCCGAACGCCACTCTCCCCAGTCACGTGACACACTTCAGATACACGGAAGAGCACGGATTTTGGATAAGGCGGGATGTTTTTCTTCCTCAGGTAGTGAGTGTCCACTCCAGGGTCGGCTTTCAGCTCCGATAAACTCACATGCTCACCCTCACAGCACGTTACATCATGGCCTCTGGAGTTTTCATATTCTGTCCACTCTCTGAAAAGGAAGGAACTTATTGTATGTTAACTTTTCATGCATTCTGTTAGATTATCCACTAAAAATAAAAATTTATTTGATATAATAACAACATATGTACAGATTAGGGGTGTTCAGAACATAAATTAATGCAATATGGTGTTCCTCAAAACTCTTACTGTTTCTTCATTCACAGTCATATGCAAAAGTTTGTAAACCCCTAGTCAAATTACATGTTTTGCTAAAGTGAAAATCAGTTGGCACAACCTCTACAGGGAACACATTTAAAAATGAGTTTTAATATAAGATTTCTATTCATTTGCTGAATTTAACACATTGACAATAAATTATAAAATGTGACAATACCTTTTGCACAGGCAACATTTTATATTTTAATGCAGTGTACATTAATATGTGCACTGTGTTCTCTGTAGAGGATATGTTCCTATTTTCACTCAGAAAATGAACAAAACATGTAATTTAGCTCAATATTTGCACACAACTGTAAATACATCCCCTATGTAATGCAGAACACAACATTGGCTATGACTTTTACACTAGTAATATACAGTCTATATGTACCACCTCAGTCAGACACAGTAACACAGATATACACAATGAAAGACTTGCTCTGTTAAAAATTTCACTGTACAATTACAGCAAATTACTGGCCACTAGTTGCATTACTTTCACAGTAATTTGCAGTACTCTATTAACAGTAAATAACAGTAAAATAGCAGCCGCATACTATGACTACACAGTCACTTGGATCACAAGATTCCTGTGATGTAGCCATATTCTGCAGTACACTTACAGTAATACACTGTGATTAAAATAATCTCTTGTTATTTTTACATAACGAAATAGTTGGAACTCAGTAGCAAGTCATTTACTGTAAGCTTGCATATGAAAAAAATGACTTTTAGTTTGACCAGACCTATAAATATTAAAATTTAAATAAAAAAGATAGAATATAAAATAGAAAGCAAGGTAATAGATAAAATAAAAGCAATATTGATTAACATATATATTTATTTACATTTATAAATGGATATTTATTACAGTAATGTTCTGTTATTACAACAATATCTTAAGATTGTTTGATATCACAATAAAATGATGAATACAGTATTTTACAGTAATAACGTTCAGGGTTTGCAAAAATTAACAGTGTGCTAAGGAGCTAAAGCCTGAAAGACCAGAAACTTCCTCCTTCTGACTATTTGGGAGGCTAAAGCGTACATACAATCATTCAAACATATAAGTAGGTGGAAAAATTACATGAGCAATTAAAAGTTACCATATTGTCATAAATCTTATTGTAAATCAATATAAAAACAAACAATAATGTTAATAGAAAATATGATAATATTGAAAATATCAGTTCTGCTCTTTACAGTGGCAGCTTTTGTTCCATTGTCTGTCATTAAAATACTTTGGATCAAATGATTTGTCTCATCTGCATGTGATACAAAACAGACAAAGTGTTTAATGCCTCTAAAAGTTCCCTCACAGAGAGTTATTACACGAAGCAGTTATTAATATGCTTTATGCCTGAGAGTAAAGCCAAAGTCAAAGTCAAAGTTTATTTATATAGCGCTTTTTACAACAGGTGTTGTCACGAAGCAGCTTTACAGAAAAATCCGGGTCCAAGCCCCCATGAGCAAGCCAGTGGTGACAGTGAAAAACTCCCTAAGAGCAGGAGGAGGAAACCTTGAGAGGAACCAAGACTCGAAAGGGGAACTCATTGTGGTATTGTAATGAATGTATTACTATTATAATCGATAAGAAATCCATAATTATAAGCTAAAAAGTTGATTAACAAAAGTGTATTAATCCTCTCACTAAGGATAGGCCTTGCTGTGCGTAAAATAGGGGATTTTCTCATGAGAAAGTCCTGAAGTTTAGAAGCATCTAGAAGCTAGTGTACTTTGTTGTGAAGGAAAGCTGACCCTCAAAGAGGGAGGTAAGCTGATAGGGAACCAGTTCAATAAGACAAGAAGCTAATTGATAGCCTTGGAAGGATGGGGGTAGCCTGGGATAGCTGAGCATGGCAAGTTTTTAAACAGGGTATAAGAAATGATGTTTCTGTATTGCACTTTGCATTTGGCTGTCCGGGAGCCATCTTGCCACCTGAAGCTCAATAAAGAAGAGGGCCTTTTCCTTCCTTCCAAAAGAACTCAACGGCTGAAGTCTTTTATTCAACTTTCTTTTATTTTTGACTAAATTTTATTTTATTTTTTATTTTGCGTTTATGACGAGAACAAGCAATTAGATTAATTAAAGAACTGAAATATAGTTATAGAACAGATTAGTGTTTAATTATCCATATGTTTGGGCTCTGAGCGAGCGGGAATCGCACTTAGTCCCGACATAAATTGGCGGCCCTGTAACGGGGACGAGTGACGAACCTGACAGATCGTTATCAGCACCAGATTGCTAGGACTGCCGTCGTGGGCTACCACGTGACTCTGTGACAAAAGTCTGTCCACAGCGCGCGCTAGAGAGAAAACGGTAAGCAGACACCTGTTATAAAAGTTCTGCTATATGTGTGCGAACAGACTTTGATTGTTGGGTTATGTGATCGCTTGTGCTGAATAAAAATATTTTTAAAGACAGATTTGTAACTGTGTTGAAGAGATAATAGATAAGGGTAGTGAGCCGTATGAGAAGGGAGGAAAATGTAAAAGAAGAGTCATTGCGATTATGAGACGAGGTAACAAAGTTACTGAGAGAGAAATAAAAATAACAGGATATCAGTAAAATGAAAATATATTTTTTTGGAAGGCCTGTAAGAACTGATGAAACGCGTTTAATACCAGCAACATAAGAATATGTACCAGCGCTGTCATTTACAGCAAAAAAATACGGTTGTTTGGGAGAAAGAAGAGAGGATAGATGATTGAGGTACTTGAGGTGAAGTATAAGAGTAGGATTACATACAAACAGTTGACAGTTACAGTGACAGCCATAACGAGTGTCAATCTTACTGGAGTTAGAGTATCGATTGTAGTCGTTTCATGGACCGTGATCTATTAATAGTAACGCAGGATATTCTCACACATTTCTGGCTTGAGAGAACATATAAAGATAAAGGAGGAAGGGAGTACTGGCAGTCACATACATTTATTAATAAAAAACTGTGGAATTAACGCAGTGGGCTAATTGGGACGAAGTCCAGGCAGTAGCCATAGATTAAAGGACAGGATAAAACGAGTTTGGAGCAAGGATTTTTTTTTGGCACCAGTGCTAGATACTTTGTTGACTAGTGAGAAAACATTGGAGGCTGTATTTAAAATAGATAATTTACCGTGCGGTCCCTTCGGGCCCCCGGAAGATGACAGACTATGTAGAGAGTTGGAAATTCGCCTCTGGGTTGAGAAGAGAGAGGTGCTTTGGGAAAGAGGATCAGCAATGTCCATATTGAGGAATGGATCAGCATTGTGAGTTGTTAATGAAATTAGGTACCACAGTGAGTAAGATAAATGCAGTAGTGAATTGGAATGGAGCTCTAGTTTTGGGTCGTGAGGGTATGCTTAAAACAGCACAGGGAGAGAAGTAGAGAAAGGAGGGGGGAACTGCGTGCTTGCTAACAGCCCCTCCCGTGTGGAACACAGGAATGTCCACCCTCACACAGTGAGCTTCAAACACAGACAGCATTGATTCATAAGGAGGCTCAGGGTATTAATTCATAAAGTAAGATCAAAATGGGTAACGAATTAGCTAAACTCGAGCAACCAGGACAAATTACACCTTTTAGCTTAATGCTCTCAAAGGGCATTGCATCCAGGAAAGAGTTAAAACAGTGCATAAAAAAAAAATGGAATAAGTTAACACGCTTTGAGGAAAAACAATGGCCTCTTAGAGGGTCATTTGATACAAACGTATGCAGTATGGTAAAAAACTTAGAGGAAAAAGGCACACGGAAGACACAAGCTCAATTAGTTGAGGACCAAATTAAGTTAATGACTGCTGGAAAAAAGGTTAGAAGAACACACTGATGTGTGTGAAGCATGGTTGATGAAGAATTTGACTCTAAAATAGTGATTGACATGTAAAAGTAAAAGAAAAAAATGGAAAAGGAGGATTTTTTGGGAAATAAGGGAAATTATCAATGTATGAGTATTAACCTGTCATCTTGGCAGGTAAAAAGTTGCAGCAGAGAGAGAGAAGCAAGAAAGGGGGGGCTCTTAGCAGCGGACCGTGAGATCACACACACACACAAGCACTTCAAGGACAGCAATTAATCTAGTACAGTTGGAGCAACACACACACACACAGACAGCTCCCAGTCTGCACAGAGAGGCTACAATGCAGATTATTTTACTGATTAAGGGACAGTAAATATATTATGGGAAACACACTAACCAAGTTACAAAAGAAAGAAGTAACACCTTTCAGTTTGTTAGCTAAAGGTATTGTATCAAGGCTTAGAAGCGGCAACATTCACATATGGGAAAGCAACATCCATAACAATGTGATACACATGTTATTAACATCTTACTCTTTTGTGTTGACTAATGTTAGACAAACAGGATATGATGTAATTCCTTCAGCCCTGAATTGACAATACAGAGATGCTCCAGAGTGAATCCAGCTGAGAGGTTAGCTACGCCTGAAGAAGGTATACCACATCCTTGTGAATAGTTAACCACAACCTTCTTAAAACCTAGAGAAGATTTATATAGTGAACCACTATCGAATAGTGAGTTAATTTTGTTTGTGGGTGGACCATGTTTAGATTTGCATATGGCATAAAATTAGTTCTGACAATGGCAAACCCTTTGTCCATAAAGTTATTGCAGCAATCACACAGGCATTACGCATCAAGCGCAGACTTGGATGTGTTTATCATCCACAATCACAGAGTATGATTGAACACCAAAATGGTGTTCTTAAGGCCAAAATTGCTAAGCTATGTGAGGCGAGTGGACAGAAAATGAATTGGCTAAATGCCTTACCATTAGCCCTAATGAGCATGCGAATGTTGACTAATAGTAATACGCATCTGACTCCGCATGAGATGCTTACTGGACGACCAATGCCAGTAACTTACTTGAGGGCACCTACTAGAGGTCCCCGGCTCGAGCAATTGCAAGACGAATTGCACGATTATGTTACATGTTTGACTAAAATTCATAGGGACATTTTTCGTGACGTTAAAGGAGCTACTGCAGGGCGTAGATCAGAGATTAGAGAGGAGGAACTGAAAAAAGTGCTTCCAGGCGATTATGTCTATATAAAAATCTTCAAAAAAGGCTGGCAACAACCACGACGTGAAGGTCCCTTCAAGATGGTCCTTGCTACTCCAACTGCTCTCTAAGTAGAAGGTAGAAAAGTGTGGATTCATTTAAATCATTGTTCAGCTGCTCCAATAGCACTCAGACTCCCAGAACCAGTCCAGCCACAGGGACAGGACAGTCAAGACGACTCTGGAGGGGAAGGACCAAGTGGACTCCCAAGGCCATGAACCAGAGCAGTGGCCCGGAAGGAACTGAGACCACCTGACAGAGAGGACAGTGACGACTCCGATTCTGAACCAGCAGACTTAGATCCACCGGCAGAACCGGAACCAGACTCAGACTGAGGTAGGATTCAGGCTAAGGAGGGTGTGCTGGAGCCCAGTTGAGGTGGGACGAGTGCTGATAGGGCGTGCCCGCACTCCGAGCACCAATATACTACAAGAAGGGTAAAGGCTCCCCCTGTTTGCCGGAATCCTTACACACACACACACACACAAACATACACACATTAACACCTGCATATCTACAAACATGTTGCGGATTCTAGTTTTATTGTCAGTCATCACACCCCTTATCAATGGCATGGAGTTAACTTTGACAATGATTGAGGGCAACACAACCACTTTTAACTTTGACTTTTGTTCAGTAGTTTCTTGCCCAGATGCTACTTATGCCCAACAATTGATAACTGCAGATAAATATATGTGTGTAAGCCCTACATATCAGCATGACCCTTCTTGGGTCTGTAGGCGATGGGATGAAGTATGGTGGAATACAGGTGTTAATGGTTACACTTATAGACAGTCTACATCCAAGTGGAAACAATTCCAGAATAGTCTTACCTTAATTCAAGGTTGTAGCGCACACCCATGTTCGAAGAACTGTAATCCACTATATCTCACCATTAACAATGCTACTGCACTGATGAATGGGACATTCGGCCTAGGAGCGGACGTCTCAGGCAGAGACCCAATAGGTAGATTTAAAATTGTAGTGCTTAAGCCAAACACCACTACTTCACCTAAAGTTGTTCCAGAAATCAAGACTCTTTCCTTTAGAGACTCTGATGAAGTGATAGCAGTAGAGACTGGATTTAGAGATACAAATAAATGGATTGATTGGATACATTACACTGCGCTCACCCTAGGTGCAAAAATTGTTATGCATGTTCTACAGCTAAGCCATTGTTGACATCATCACCATTTCCAGCACTGATAGATGACTATAACCGTACACTTTGTTTGTTGCCTTTACTTTCTAGTAGAGTACTTCCAACCGACTCTGACTGTGCCGACATGCATTGGAAATTTCCACCAGTGCAAAAGATAGGACCTGGTAAAGGAAATTACACATGTTTCACTCAACATGATACTGACGGTAAAGACGTGGGATGCTTTCCCCACTGTGCACTCACTTACAATACTACTGACATCCCAACAATGTATTTTTCCACTATGTTGGTTGCTAGAGCAGATGTTTGGTGGTATTGTAAAACAACCACCTTTAGGCCTACCTTGCCCAAGACTTGGAAGGGCACATGCGCCCTTGCAGTACTTACTATGCCTGTAGATATAATTACGTTACATGACAATACACCTCACCATAGACGCAAGAGATCAACTTCTGTTCCATCAACTTCTGGCAGTTTTGACAACACCATTTACATTGATGCTATTGGGGTCCCTAGAGGGGTCCCTGATGAATTCAAAGCAAGAAAATCAAATTGCAGCAGGCTTTGAGTCAGTTTTATTTTGGTGGTCTACTATTAACAAGAATGTAGACTGGATCAATTGCATCTATTACAACCAACAGCGATTCATTAATTACACTAGAGATGCTGTTACAGGACTAGCTGACTTCTGGAGAGGCTCATCGACACGGCCCTAACGAAGAAGGACGCAAGAAACGCGTATCTGATGATGACTTCTAACGAACAGGTTGATGACGACTCATATGATGATCTACTCGAACTGTCTTAAACACCAACTGCATCTGACTGATGGCGCCCATGACTACGGACAATTGATTGGGCGGGGTTGATTTGTACTGGTGACCTCTCGCCCCGCCCACAACGGTCCCCTCTACGTGGAGTAAATTCACTGGGGCTGAAGATCAAGATTTCACACTGTCTATAACTGTTTGTGCTGTATGTATGTATGTATGTGTTTACTTATTGCATTTACTCACTCCTTATTTAGTTGTTTACTTTGTATAATTTACCCTATTAACCACATTTCATGTTTTTGCAGTCTAATCTCATTTACTCTTTGTTTGCTCTCCCCTAGAGTGCCACTTCCTTGTGTTTGATGATCCTTAGAAGTTATTGGCAAATTGCTGATTTCTTTTGCTGCCTCATGAGTCTGACTTGCTTATTTTGGCTAAGATTGGTTGCCTGGTCTCAAGGAGTTGGGGCCTGGACACTGGTTATTGCCCTGGCACTGAGATAGGACCGGAAGGGTCCACCAAGGGGCCGGAAGGGGCTCTTTATTTGGGCTATATGGCTTTTTTGGAACACCTGGTCTCAGGTGAGTTTTAAGTAGCTCGCTTATTGGGGTCATAAGGCTTCATATGACAGGAAGGACCAATTAAGCTGTGCCCATATGTCTCACCCATTTCTTAGAAGTTCGTCAGACTCGTGACCTGGTCTTAAAAATTTACTTTAATCATGAACACTTTGTTTATTATTATTATTATTATATTGGATCTTGGAACACAGGTTGTGGTTACTTTAGTTGGACAGTAATTTGTAGTAGTCTTATTTTGTAGAGGGAATGTGGGTTAATCATATAATTTGGTATATAATTTGGTAATTTGGAAAATATAATTTGGAAGAAGTGGGTAAAATATGGGTAAAATGATTTTGAGAAACGATTTGTGGGGTTTGATGTGTACTATGTACTATGTTTAATCCTTTTGACACATACTAATACTAATAAGTAACTTTTGATTTCCATATACTAGTAAACATATAACATCTATTGTGTGTTATGCTTGCAAAATAATCAAACATTTGTAGAGGTCATGGTGAGGGCACCATGAAATGGGGGAATGAGGTATTGTAATGAATATATTACTATTATAGAATATATTAAGAAATCCATAATTATAAGCTATAATATATTAAGAAATCCATAATTATAAGCTAAAAAGTTGATTAACAAAAGTGTATTAATCCTCTCACTAAGGATAGGCCTTGCTGTGTGTAAGAAAGGGGATTTTCTCATGAGAAAGTCCTGAAGTTTAGAAGCATCTAGAAGCTAGTGTACTTTGTTGTGAAGGAAAGCTGACCCTCAAAGAGGGAGGTAAGCTGATAGGGAACCAGTTCAATAAGACAAGAAGCTAATTGGTAGCCTTGGAAGGATGGGGGTAGCCTGGGATAGCTGAGCATGGCAAGTTTTTAAAAAAATAAGGACAAGTGCGGTTGGAAATAAGGGTTTCCAACTGAAGTGCAAAAATAGGAAATAGTGGGAACCAAAGTGAACTGAGAAAAGGTGAGAGGGAGGGGCGATTGCTTAATCGCCCCCAAACAGGGTATAAGAAATGATGTTTCTGTATTGCACTTTGCATTTGGCTGTCCGGGAGCCATCTTGACCCCTGAAGCTCAATAAAGAAGAGGGCCTTTTCCTTCCTTCCAAAAGAACTCAACGGCTGGAGTCTTTTATTCAACTTTCTTTTGTTTTTGACTAAATTTTATTTTATTTTTTATTTTGCGTTTATGACAAGAACAAGCAATTAGATTAATTAAAGTACTGAAATATAGTTATAGAACAGATTAGTGTTTAATTATCCATATGTTGGGGCTCTGAGCGAGCGGGAATCGCACTTAGTCCCGACACCATCGTCCTCTGGTTGACACCGGACAGCCTGAGAGGTTATTTTACACGAGTTTTGTGATAACCTTTATTTTTTTTACTTTTTAAAGTCCATCAGCACCAGAGATCTACATGCAGGATGCTGTGAGGCAAAATATAGTACCCAAAGGAAACTGACTTTTTCAGTTTTACCTTGATTTTACCATCACCAGTATTATACTCAGAGGATGTGTATATTCACTGGTGGATTTGGAGAGTAAATGAAATGGCTATATTTCTGCTGGTTTCCATCACCAACACCGTAAAGAGATCTGACTCGACAGGTTTCTGTACAATGAACCATTTTACATCAAACCACTCTGTCTTTGTTTACACATCCACCACTGAATTATACAGAAATTTTGGAAAATCAGTGGAATTCCAATAAATGCTTGTTGCAGTGTAACTGTGCTGCTTTTATTACTTTGAACAACTGCTATTTTTTCTGAGTAAAGTTCTTTGAGATTTTAAAACTAAACTGACACATGCTATAAAAGTAAAGACACATTAATAAACGAATGCTTTAAAAAAGTGTTGCAAAGGAAATAGAGCAGACCGAGGCTTTCTGAAAACCTCAGTGAGCTAAAAACTGAAAACAGCCTGTAACAACCGGAAATTAGAGAGCAAGAATTCTCTTTCAAAATATGTCATAAGGCAATATGACTACACCTGAATAAACTAGCTTAGCTTAGCACTACTAAGCTTAGTTGTAAATGTTTGTATTTAGTCTATATGTGTCATCACATGAGTTTAGATTTTGTTTGTTTACCTGTTCACAGCCATGTTTTCTTGCTTGCTTGTTTCCTAAGAGAAGCGGTCTCTGTATAAGTCAGTGGAAATACCCCAACAAGGGAAAGAGCTCTAGGTTATATAAGCACGGGTGTGTCTGTTTGTCTGTCTGTGTGTGAGTTGAATGCCTTACTCGAGAGGGCGTTACTGTGTTTCCTGATCAGAGACAGGACTCTAATACGCACACACACACACACACACACACACACACACACACACACATACACATACAAATCTGCACAGCTGATTTTCAGTATTTCCTTTAACTCCTGTTTTACAGCTGTTTTACGGTTGAAGTCAAACCCTAAGCTGAGGTGGGTGGCAACCAATTACATTTTCTTCATATAAATGGAGATTTTCCCAAATTTCTGCATAATAAAATCATTGACATGTAAGTTAAGTCATTCAGAGCGGTTCTAAAGGCACTTACTGAGTCAGAATTGTTCCCAACAGCATTCTTGATAAGAACTAGGTGTCTGAAGCGTTAATGAAAGCAAGTACTATTATGTGGAATGGATATGAATTAACTGCCTGATATCTGAGTCACTGTTTTGAGATAAGCTTCTGGACTGAAAAGTATGTTTTTAAATATCCATAAAATCCATTTGGGTTACAAAGTCGTTTTGTTGATTTTCTACAAAAAGAAAGGTAAACACATCCTCTACGGAGAACACAATTAAATATGGTGTTTTTCTTCCATTTTTCTGTACATTTTCTATTTATTTGCTTTGCTTTCTATTTGAGTTTAAAATATAGGAAAAAAATCTAATAGACAATGTAAAATGAGCCATAGCTTTTGCACAGCTCACATTTTAGGTTTTATTTTTTTCCAATGTGTTAAATTCAGAAAATAAACAGTAATTGGGCCTTAAAATTTTCACTTCAGTCAACTTCAAAGCCAACAAAACATGTCACTTGACCAAGGGTGCCCAAACATTTGCAGACTAAGGAATATTGGACGTGTACACTATTTTAAGGAGTACAAATCTTAACAGTCAGAGCTCCTTATAACTCTCAGTGTATCATGGTCAGGATCAGGGTGTAGTTTTTTGGGGGTGGTGAAAAAAAGGTTAGGTGTGACTAAGTCATCACTCTCATCACTTTGATGTGAGCAGTTATCAGTTGCTTGTTGTAGCTTGTGTATAGGTCAATGGCGGTGTCTCTGAAGGAGTAAGAGGTCACAGTTTATTTCGTCTGGGTCTACAACAATGCTATCAGTGTAAATAGCAGTATATATGGAGGGAGGGGTCATCCATAGTCCACTGGAAGAGCAGCAGTTATCTTACATAACTTGTAGAACTTAGCTACAGTTTCTGAAACCTCAGGATACAGTGTGCTGTTTCTGTTGAATTATAGCCATGGTTTTTCAGTTCTCCACATACTTTTTTTTATCAGCAAACTGCCTCCTGTGCAAAGAATTTATTCCAAGCAAGGACTAAATCTGCTGACCTTCATGAACCTGTTACGACCCCCAGGCGTAATCGCCCTTCTTTGTGTCTGTTTATGGCCATTTTCTGTGTTTTTCCACTGGTCTTGCAGCAGGTATGGGGAGAGAGCCCACTCTCATTCTCTGTTACGGCCTGACCCTAGACTAGGTCGTAACAAACCACGCACACAAGCACACATCCCAGCAGTAAAATACTAAAAAGGCCTGGGCATGATGTGAAGGTTTTTGAGTAGTTATCTGTATTACACTGGCTGTTCAGTATAATGTAAAGGCATTGTGAACCTGGCCTAGTTGAGAATACCTTGGTGGATCCAAAAGTTCTCAAATGTTGTATATTACAGTTTGTTTTTTGCTATGCAAATGAAACACATTTGACACAATGGCTCTATAATAGCTTTCATATCATGGATCCCATGCTAGGAAAGCCCTTTTATTAACTATCCAAAATTACCCATGAACCCACATGTATCTTTAGAGTTTTATATGCTATGTTGATAATGATCAAATAGTCGTAGCTTTCTTTGGGTACTGTTTTGCATTAAAATGCACTACATGAATGCCCACCATCATGAATGTATTATAGAAATGTTTTAGGCCAAACTCTTTTCTCAAAACCATGTCTTAGGCATTATGTTCACATCCATTCAGTGTAATAACTCTTCAGATGTCTGGGTCCCATCACCACCACTATGAACAATACTGACCCTTTAATTAGCTTTTGTAAATAATGTCTTTGTTTATGCTGTGTTATGATGCTATATCATTTATACTTTTATATTTTTATGATACACTTTAGAACATATTCCTATTTTAGCATTTATTCATATATGATAATTATATCATAAAACCCTAAATTATGCAATCAGCAGCTTTATTTAACTTTAAGTTTGTACTTTTTATAAATTCTGTCATCAGCATGGAAAGTTGCCACCTAACAACAGATCAACATTAATTATAAGCAGTAGTCTAAGCTGTAATTACGTTTTGTGTGAAACGTCTGTTTGATTTAATGTGACATCTGACACCAGAAATCAAAACTTTGAGGCACGCCTAACCTCAATAGAAACATGCCCACAGTAAGAAAGAGACAACGGATGTCTCCATTCAAATATACACCCACCAGCCACTTCATGAAGCACACCTACCTTGTATCTACACTGTTTGTCCATTTTATCAGCTCCATGTATCAAGTACCATATAGGTGCACCTTGTAGTTCTACAATTAAAGACTGTAGTCCATCTGTTTCTCTACATACTTTGTTAGCCCTCTTTTACCCTGTTCTTTAGTGGTCAGAACCCCAACAGGACCACCACAGAGCAGGTATTATTTGGGTGGTGGACCATTCTCAGCACTGCAGTGACACTGACGTGGTGGCATGTTAGTGTGTGTTGCGCTGGTACGGGTGGATCAGACACAGGAGTGCTGCTGGAGGTTTAAACACTGTGTCCACACACTGTCCACTCTATTAGACACTCCTACCTTGTCGGCCCACCATGTAAATGTAAAGTCAGAGACAGTAGCTCATCTGTTGCTGGACAGTTTGTGTTGGGCATCCTGTAGTCCTTTATCCGTGGTCACAGGACGCTGCCCACAGAATGCTGTTGGCTAGATATTTTTGTTTGGTGGCCTGTTTTCAGTTTAGCAGTGACTATTTTCAGTCCAGCAATGAGATGTTTAAAAACTCCAGCAGCACTGCTGTGTCTGATCCACTCATACCAGCGCAACGCACACTAACACACCACCACCACGTCAGAGTCAGTATTGAGATTAAGCTACCTCCCAAATAATACCTGCTCTGTGGTGGTCATGTGGGGGTCTTGACCACTGAAGAATAGGGTAAAAGTGAGCTAACAACAGATGAACTACATTGGGCATCCCTACTGAAGACCCTTAGCAGACAATAATAGCAAAAAGGCCACTGGTAGAAATAATTCAAACCATTTTTTTTTCCAGATTGAAAACAAATCTAAAAGTATTGTTTCTCCTGCAGGATTATGTCATATGGTTGAAAAGACAAGCACAACTTGAGCAATGAACATAACAAAAAAGACAATTCTATGAATTAACATGACAAAGACTGTTGATCCTGATTTGAAATGTTGGTAATTCAGTAACTGGCTTAAAACATATCAAGCACTCTTGTTACTCAGGTGGTGAGGCTTCAAACTCACACTTTATAAACCCCTCATTGCTCAGTTTAGGTTCTGCTCCCTGACGGAGACTCAGGTGCTTAAGCAGGGTTACCTGGTCAAACTCGAAGATCATACCCTGTGGGACATGGAACGCCACAGCCAAGTGGTTCTCCGCTTCTTCTTAAGCACTCGGCGCACCCGTATTTCTTGTCGTCGAACCAGCCGAAAGGCATGTGTTTTGCTCATGCCCTCTGGTCTCCACAATATTTTGTCATTCTGGAACTCGCACACACCATTGCGAGAGTCCTGCAGAATCTCTTGAACTCTCTTTTGGCGTCTGGACCATGGACCACTATAGAATGCATGACTTCCTGCTTGTAGACGACCGTCTCATAGATGCGTATCTGGGGTGTTTGCCCCATGCAGAACTGGGTGCTGTAGCTGGCCAGCAGTTCCCTCATGGAGAATGTGAAACGAAAGTTCCCCAGCCTAGAGGACTTCCTGAAGGCTGGCGAGGAGGTGAACTTGTGTAGGAAAGGTTTACAGTTATAATCTTTATCATCACCAAGAAAACGCCTCTCAGCATCTGCAATGTCACCCTCTGAAAGGGCTAAGCTCCACCAGACCTTTTTGGCATTTTTGTTATTTCCAGTCATTTATGTTCATTCATGCTTGTCTTATCAGCCGGTGCTTGTTTCATTGGCACTGTTGTAGCCACTTCCTCTTTCTTGCAGGTTCTTCTGGGGACTTTTTGGTGGAAACTATGAAATGATTTACCAAAGCAAGGTTTCGTAACCAACATACATAACTAATGTTCCGCCAAAGCAAGGTCTAATAACCAAAATATATAAGAAAAGAATAAACAACTAAGCATTTTTGTTGTATAGCTATAAACAGTAGCAGCAGCTATATTGAAGCCTGAAATTTATGTTTACTTTTGTCCATTTTTATGGATAACAATTTTGTAATTTTGTGTAATTATCTGAAAAAATGCATACATAAGTCAGGCTTGAAACTGACTGCTACTAACGTTTTAGCTGTGCAACATGCTTTTGACATTTTTATAGTCAACAGAATGTGGTTATTACACAGTATCAGAAACCACATAAGCAGGTCTATTTGAAATTACCACGTAGCTTCAATGCAAAACTAAAGAACCAAACTTCTAGAAATCAAACTAGAAATCAAATACGTCTTGGCTGATCACTCACATTTTGGGTAAGGGGCAAACTATGTAAATGAGACATTTAAAGGAGACTATTTATTCCCTTAAAAGCACCTAAATTTTATCAAACATCACAGACCACAAGATTTTACAAATTAACCAATGAACAATAGTATCAGAATGTGAATGGGATTCCTAACACTGATGGCAAAATCACATTTGTGTTTGAAACAAGGTTTTCTTTTGAATAATAAAAAAAGGTCAACTCATGTTTTAAAAAAGAAAAACATGCTTTCTTCATTCATTGCACCAAAAGTATCCTCATCAGAGACAAAGTGAGACAGA